GTGTACTGGAAGAAAGAAAGATCACCAGTGTCAAAGCAACGATTCTTCAACATCAACTTCGTTGGACTGGTCATGTTGTGTGGATGCCTGATTATCGTCTTCCAAAGCAACTACTCTATTCCGAACTTTAAAATGGAGAGTGTAATGCTGGTGGTCAACAAAAGAGGTTTAAAGACTGTCTCAAGGCAAATCTAAAAAAAATGTAGTATAAACACTGACAACTGGGAAACACTGGCCTGTGAGCACTCCAGTTGGAGAACAGCCTTTAGCAAAGGTGTCATGGGCTTTGAAGACACTCAAACTCAGGACACAAGGGAGAAACGTGCTAAGAGGAAGGCCCGCTTGGCAAATCCACACCATGATCAACTCCCGCCCAGAAACTAATGCCCCCACTGTGGAAGGACTTGTGGATCCAGAATTGCCCTCCACAGTCACTTACGGACTCATTGTTAAAACCGTGTATATGGAAGACAATCTTACTCGGCTACGAGTGATCGCAGAAGAAGAAGAAGAAGAAGAAGAAGAAGAAGAAGAAGAAGAAGAAGAAGAAGAAGAAGAAGAAGAAGCTGACCAAGCAGGCATTCTATCATGGGATCTGCAGAGCCATGTTCATGATCTGGATGAAATTATAGGAGATGGCAACACTAATGCAAACATACATAGTTCTTTCCTTAGGTAAACTTTGCTGCTCATCAATCCCAAAGATTGCCAGACAGATAGGAGAGAGATCGGTGTGTGCTGCCCACAAATACACCCCCTCTCCCCCAAAACCCAGCCTTTATTAGCAATGGTAGTGGCCGGAACAGTAATTAATCTGTTTGTCCATAGGTAAAGGTAAAGGTACCCCTGCCCGTACGGGCCAGTCTTGACAGACTCTGGGGTTGTGCGCCCATCTCACTCAAGAGGCCGGGGGCCAGCGCTGTCCGAAGACACTTCCGGGTCACGTGGCCAGCGTGACATCGCTGCTCTGGCGAGCCAGAGCCGCACACGGAAACGCCGTTTACCTTCCCGCTAGTAAGCGGTCCCTATTTATCTACTTGCACTTGACATGCTTTCGAACTGCTAGGTTGGCAGGTGCTGGGACCGAGCAACGGGAGCGCACCCCGCCGCGGGGATTCGAACCGCCGACCTTTCGATCTGCAAGCCCTAGGCGCTGAGGCTTTTACCCACAGCGCCACCCACGTCCCACCCACGTATGTTTGTCCATAGTGGCATACAATAAATCAACAGTAGAGCAAGCAGCTCATGAGCCTTGGTTGCAGCACCAACAATCACTAGAAAGCCTTGTGATGATGCCAGGAATCCTTTTTTTTCCTGGAAGCTGTCCAGAGTGGCTGGGGAAACCCAGATAGATGTGTACGGGGGGAGTATAAATATCATCATCATCATCATCATTGGTGGGGAATGTCTGTAGCTCAGAGGTCGAGCCCATGCTTTTCAATCAAAAGGTCCCAGTTTAAATTCCCAGCTTTTCAAATCAAGGTGGGAAGGACCCCATCTAATGCCTGAGAAGGGGGGTTAACTGTTAAACCACTCTGGGCATTGTAGTTCTGTGAGGACTAGAAATCTCCTGACAATGTCCAGCACCTTTTGCAAACTACAGTTCCCAGGGTTTTTGGGGGGAAACCAGGACAGTTTAATGTGGTATAATGCTGCTTAAAATGCTTACACTATACGTTATGGAGCCCATGCAAGAGAGAGAGAGACAGATTCCACAGGCAATAACGCTCCACAGTCTCAGGCATTTAAGGTCCCCACGCTATGAATATATGGCAGAAGGTCATAAATGCAGACCCCCATACCAAAGTAACCTTAAACTATTGTTCTGGGAAGCAGCCAGTCTTCAGTTCCCTGAGGGAAGTGGGAAAACAGAAGTGAGAGCAAATGGGGGCCCCAAACCATTTATGGCTTTATGAATTATACAAAGCCTCCTCCATTCTGCCGAGAAGTAAACAAGGCACCTTGCGCAAATGACGTGAGCTCTTTTGTTTACTGGTGTGGCTTTATGGGCCACACTTTGCCGGCACAGCGCCCACCCGCCTGCCGCCTTTGTGAGCCACTGTGCTACCTAATAAAAAGCAGCAAATAACGCTATCAACACATAATGTGCTTCAGTGAGAAGGCTTTTATTTTATTTCATCCCATGCTTCTATTGAAACAAACTTTCAGATTTGTTTGCAACTGTTTTGAAAATAAAAAACAAGAGCACTTTTCCCACACTTTTCAGTCCCTGCCAGTTTTACTTTGCGGGTTGGTAGGTGAACATTAATAATAATAATAATAATAATAATAATAATAATAATAAATTTTATTTATACCCCGCCCTCCCTGGCCAGAGCCGGGCTCAGAGTGGCTAGCACCAAGAAAATTACAATAAAACATATTTACCAGTTTATTAAAATACGGGTTAAAATACAATTTGAAATGCAGCCTCGTTTTAATTGTAGCACTCCCTGTGTGCATTCTTGCGGCATCAAAGCTAGAGGATTGTAACCCAGAATGAGAAGGTCCTGTCTTCCTGAAATATTATATTTTGAATCAGAAAATTGGACTTGTTTTCAAAGTTACAGGAAGTTCTACGGCCTTTCCTGGAAAGACAGGCAGGCTGTGGCAATAAACATGGGGTGCTCTAGGAAAGGGATACAGACGTAACTCTCAGCCGCAATGTCTCTCCCTCTCTGAGGAAGGACCCTGTAAAAATCTAAGGCTGCCCACCTATGGCTGTGCGGTACCTTGCACTGACCCACAAATTAATGTGAAGGAGCAAAGTAAGGATCTGAATAGCAGTAAAACTGTTTAGATTGAAAGGTATGGGGAAATTAAAAGGTCCTTCTCTGGCATCAAAACAATCAAGGCAGACACCCTGTGAGCCTCTGCAGGGAAAGCATTCCGCAATACAGTAGTGGGAGCACTACTGATAGGGTCCTTTCCCTTTCTATCCACCCCAAGGAAGCAGCAGGACCAGAATAGCCTGTTGTGAAGATCTTGGTGTATAGAGAGGCATATGGCCCACTGAAGCCAATAGGGATCACTCCCCCCCATGTGTATGATTTCTGCTATGCATTCAGAACCCTTTACATTCTTACAGGTAATGATTAGTGGTACCTCGGGTTACAGACACTTCAGGTTACAGACTCTGCTAACCCAGAAATATTACCTTGGGTTAAGAACTTTGCTTCAGGATGAGAACAGAAATCGTGCTCCGGTGGCGCGGCAGCAGCAGGAGGCCCCATTAGCTAAAGTGGTGCCTCAGGTTAAGAACAGTTTCAGGTTAAGTACGGACCTCCGGAACAAATTAAGTACTTAACCCGAGGTACTTAATATACCACTGTATATTCTGAGGCTCCAATACTTTGGCCACCTCATGAGAAGAGAAGACTCCCTGGAAAAGACCCTGATGTTGGGAAAGATGGAGGGCACAAGGAGAAGGGGATGGCAGAGGACAAGATGGTTGGACAGTGTTCTCGAAGCTACCAGCATGAGTTTGACCAAACTGCGGGAGGCAGTGGAAGACAGGAGTGCCTGGTGTGCTCTGGTCCATGGGGTCACGAAGAGTCGGACATGACTAAACCAGTGTTTCCCAACCTTTTTTTGGCAAAGGCACACTTGTTTGATGAAAAAAATCTTGAGGCACCCCGTGACGTCAGCGCGCAGCGTCACGCCGGGAGGGAAGGGCGCCGGGGCGCTGCTGCTGCTGCTGCCGCCGCCGTTCCCGGCAGGCATGGGACCAGCTGAGGCGGCGGCGGCTGTTGTGGTGGTGGCGGCGATAGCGGGCGGAGGAGGGGGCGGCGGCGGGGCCGAGGTGGCCGGCGGCGGCGGGGGAGGCGGCGGCGGGTGGAGCAGGAGGGCGGCCGAGGCCGGTGAGGGAGTAGGGTTGCCCGGGGCTTGAGGAGCCGTCGCCGGGAGTTGCTGCTGCTGTTGTTGCTGCTGCTGCCCGGACATGCCGGCCTCCTCCTCGTCCGCTGTCTCGCGCTCCTCCCTTTTGCGCGCGCTGCCCCGCCGCCGCCCCATTGGCCGGGTCCTGTCAGCTGATCCTGTGTTATTTCCTGTGTGTGTGTGTGAGGGGAGAATGGAGAGAGAAACCTCGGCACCACCACCGCGGAGCCACCCCCGGCTCGACGCGGATCCTCGCCGCCGCCGCGCCTCTCGCCGCCCGACTCGCCTGCCTCCCTCCCACGGCACACCAGGCAACGTCTCGCGGCACACTAGTGTGCCGCGGAACACCGGTTGGGAAACACTGGACTAAACAATTAAACAACTATATTCTGTGGCATTTTCTTCCTAGTAAGAGCTGCGGATAGAATTGCATCCTAACAACGTGATCCTGTGGGCATTATCCAGGCATAGGCGAGTGCAGAAAGGGCAGTCTTCACTTGCAAGCCTAGGCATGTTTGCTCAGCAGCAACACCAAATGTGTTCAATCGCGGGGTCATACCTCCAGGTAAAATGTGCAGAGGGCGTTGTTGTGGCTGTAACACTCATAATAATAATAAAAAATCAAATCGAAGTGGTTGAGCCCCACTGCAATTAACGGAAAGTGTAGCTGGACCCTGTGTCTATCGGAAGCAATTCCCACTGAGTTCAGCAATGTTTCCTCCCAAGTGCATAGGATTGGAGCGTAACAAGTGCGCACCCAGATTCCCATCTAAACCCACAGGCTTTGGACTGTTCGTATGAACAGCATCCCGATCCTGTGCAGAGGCAGACACGTGTAAACAGAAACCTTCATTAGGTTTTTAGTCCTCTGTAAAGTGCATACATGAGTGCTTTAATAGACTTAGGTGTGCGCCATAGGATCTTGGCTACTACACGCACCAGTCCTGCCAGCCGCCTAGCCGTCACTTAAGGAGCAAACGCGCTGCAGGTCCTCGCTACTGAAAGAGGAGTCCCGCGAGCCTCTGGGTTCCGTGCGCTGACGTCACTCCGGGGCCCGGCCGAATGGCGGCATCCTTTGGGGGTACGGCGCATGCGCGTGCTCACCTTCCAAGGTTCCCCTCGGCGGCGCCTTCCGCTTTCGAGATTTTGCGCGCGGACTCGGACCCGGAGCGCTTAGGAGGGAGCACGCTTCCTGCAGGCGGAGGAGCGCTTGGGGCAGGTGAGATGCGGGAGGGAGCGCTTTGCAAAGGGTCGCTCCTGCTTTCATTTTCCCAGGAGGGTTGTGAGCCAAACCGTTTGCAAACTCCCAGGAGAGAGTCCTGGGCACGGGCTTGCGGGTGCGTTTAACTTTGCAACTGGGTGCGTTTAATTTCATGTCCTCGGAGCGAGTCACATCCGTGCGCGCTTCCTTACGTTGCGCAAGGCTGAAATCCGTACAGATCGCGATGGGATCTCTGAACTGGATGGGGTGTGCTCTCCAGTAAGAGCGCTCCAGAGTCCAGCCTTGCGTCAGAGTGGTTAGGATCCGTTTGCCGGGAACATATATAGTATAGGTTTGCAACCCGACGTGCCCTTCCCGTGAGATTAAGCTTGGCTTAACACAGCGAGAGATAGCAGTTGTTGTTGTTGTTGTTGTTGTTGTTGTTGTTGTTGTTGTTGTTGTTGTTGTTGTTGTTGTTGTTTAGTCGTTTAATCGTGTCCGACTCTTTGTGACCCCATGGACCAGAGCACGCCAGGCACTCCTGTCTACCACTGCCTCCCGCAGTTTCGTCAAACTCATGCTGGTAGCTTCGAGAACACTATCCAACCATCTCGTCCTCTGTCGCCCCCTTCTCCTTGTGCCCTCCATCTTTCCCAACATCAGAGTCTTTTCCAGGGAGTCTTCTCTTCTCATGAGGTGGCCAAAGTATTGGAGTCTCAGCTTCAGGATCTGTTCTTCCAGTGAGCACTCAGGGCTGATTTCCTTAGGAATGGATAGGTTTGATCTTCTTGCATTCCATGGGACTCTCAAGAGTCTCCTCCAGCACCAGAATTCTAAAGCATCAATTTTTCGACGATCAGCCTTCTTTATGGTCCAGCTCTCACTTCCATACATCACTACTGGGAAAACCATCACTTTAGCTATACGGGCCTTTGTTGGCAAGGTGATGTCTCTGCTTTTTAAGATGCTGTCTAGGTTTGTCCTAATACGTTTCTGAGCACAATTCAAAGCGCTGGTGTTGACCTTTAAAGCCCTAAACGGCCTCGGCCCAGTATACCTGAAGGAGCGTCTCCACTCCCATCGTTCTGCCCGGACGCTGAGGTCCAGCGCCGAGGGCCTTCTGGCGGTTCCCTCATTGCGAGAAGCAAAGCTACAGGGAACCAGGCAGAGGGCCTTCTTGGTAGTGGTGCCCGCCCTGTGGAACGCCCTCCCATCAGATGTCAAAGCGATAAATAACTACCTGACATTCAGAAGACATCTTAAAGGCAGCCCTGTTCAGGGAAGTTTTTAATGTGTGATATTTTAGTGTATTTTTGGTTTCTATGGAAGCCGCCCAGAGTGGCTGGGGAAACCCAGCCAGATGGGCGGGGTACAAATAATAAATTATTATTATATTATTATTATTATTGTCATTGCTTTTCTCCCAAGAAGCAGGCGTCTTTTAATTTTGTGGCTGCTGTCACGTGTCCTATGATATTAAACCCGGCTTAACACAGCGAGAGATAGCACTACTTGTGAGCAAACGCGCCCAGGCTCCTCCTGCAGCTTTTTCCTCCTTGACGTTCCCTCCAACTGCATTTCTTCCCAAAAGGTTCACCTTTCTTCCCTAAGATATCTCTCTTTAAAGAAGTCCCTGCTATATCGAATCCTTGTACTGGGGCTGGTGAGAGGTAGAGTGCAATTGAAACAGCATCTGGAAGGCCGCAGGTTCCTCACCCGAGTCTTCAGTCCAGGGGTCGCTTTCTCTTCTCAGCAACTTTCCAGGGCTGCATGCTAGCAATGGGGGCAAGTGCCCTAGGCGAAAGCAGTTGGAGCAACAAATACAAATTTTGCCTTTCCACAGCGTGCCAATTTCTTCACACAGTCTCATTGTCTCACACACCCGTCTCGGTCCTCCATCCAGAAAAGCAAGAAGCATTATGGCCATATCTGCAGTATACGTTTAAAGCAGTATCATGGCACTTTAAACAGCTATGGCTCCCTCCAAAGAACCCTGGGATTTGTAGTTAAAGGGTGCTGGGAGTTGTAGGAGACAACCTAACCACAGAGCTACAGTTCTCAGGTTGGTTTAACAATCAATTCTACCCAGGGAACTCTGGGAATTGTAGCTCCATGAGAGGAATAAAGATCCCCTAACAGTTATCAGCACCTTCAACATACTATGTTTTCCAAGATTCTCTAGTGCCCACCACGACTCTTTAAAATGATCTGGTACTGCTTTAAATATATAGTGCAGATGGGTCTATAAAAGTTCAAGCCAGGCAAAAGAACTCAAGGAAGATGTAAAAAAGGGCCATTAGTAATGGGACAAATATATGCAAATGCTTAGACTTCTTTTTAGTTGCTGGGAGTTTGAACTAGGCGGCTACTCCAACCTGGTGTCCTCTAGATATTCTGGACTGCAGCTTCTCCCATCAGCATCAGCTGGTAAAGCCAATGATCAAATATGATGGCAGCTGTTGTTCAAAGCATCTGGAGTACACTAGGTTGGGGAAGACTGGGCTATGGCAATAGCTTAATGGAAAAGGTAAGTTTTGAAGGTACAAAATGTTTTAAGAATATGAAGGCTTAATGAGAATCTTTAGAAGATTTTTTTTTTAAATTGAAAGGCACTTTGTATGTTCTTTTAAAATAGAGATTGAAAATGGAAGTAGACGTTTGATTGAAACTTGGCGTACTGGACTGTCTCACTACTGCATCCTTCCCCCACTTCTAGTGAGGAGGTGCCTACAATTCCATGTGCCGCCCAGTTTGTGCTTGGAGATGTCGTCCAATCTTTCCTACTACGCTCTACGGATGGCCCACTTGAGCGCTCGGATATTTGGAGAAGTGGCTCGCCCAACTGATTCATCATCCATGAAAGTCGTGAAGCTGTTAAGCGAGCAGCCCTATGCGAAACGGAAGGAAGTTTATGGCTGGTATCCTCCGCACAATGCCTACCACAACCTCATGACGAAACTTCGCTACTATGGCCTCTACAGGTGATCCAGGCGAGGGGGTGGTGATGAAGGGAGACTAGGGGACTGAGAGGAGAAGGTGGCTCCTTATCATCTACAGCTGGTGAAGGTGGTTTGAGCCTGCTTCTTTGCTTCAGGCAGAGAGGAAGGAACCATTGTTTTGTGTGCACAAGATTCCAAATTCAGGTCTTTTTAGTGGACTCAAGAGAGGGGAACCTTCTGCTCTCCAGTTTTTATTTATTGATTCATTTATATACCACTGAACTACAATAATCAAAGTGTTTTACGAAGATAAAATACAAAAAAATTAAAATCAGTTAAAACTATAAAACCAAACATCAATTAAAATGCCTACTGAATTAGTCTTCAGCCCAACAGGGAGGGGACTTATCTGACTTCAGCTGGAAGGGAGTTCCATAAAACTGGACCCACAACGCTGAAGGTAGCTTTATTGCTGGATATGAGCCATGGTTTCCTGTTTACTCTGTTATCAGGCCAGCATCTTCCAAACAGCATTTTAAGCCATGAAATCAAGCTCTTTTTTGACATCATACTGGCTTCAAAATGCTTTTCACATAACAGACAGTGAATGCTGCTATTTTTAAATCCGGTATAACAGCCATCCAGGTGTTCTCTGTTGCTGGGGAGAAAATGTCACAGCTGCCCATTTCACAGGAGGGCATCCCTTTGGTGCAGGAAAGATGTAAATTACACACTTGGCTCTTGCAAGCAGCTTTCTTTAGCAGGTCTCTTACTCAGAGATGCCTGCATGGGTTCACAATCTCACTTTTCAGAAATGCATTTGGCTGCAGGCAAATAGTCAGTAGGCATTTTATGGGGGTGGAACAAAATCACGGTCTGAAAGGTACTTCATGAACATCTAATAATATTAGCAGCTTGACAGCCTTAGGCAAACGACATTATCTTGCTAATGGACAAGTAGAGCAACTCGGAAAGGTAAATCAAAATTAAAGCTCTAATTCAGTTCAAGGCTCTTTAATCAAAGTTGGCTTTATTAAAAGGCATACTCTGATCCTATGAAGTGTAAGCAGAATGCTTCCTGCAGCCAAACAAGACACGTGAAGCGATTTCTCTCTTGGGTCTCATTAAAGCTCCCCCCACCCCCTTCAAAACTTTTGCATGATCCCTGGCAGTTTTAATAATACCACATTGACAGAAGGGTACAAGTTTCAATAATGTGTTAAGCCGTAAAACAAAAAGGATAAGTTGTTGTTTATAGTCGTTTAGTCGTGTCCGACTCTTTGTGACCCCATGGACCAGAGCACGCCAGGCACTCCTGTCTTCCACTGCCTCCCGCAGTTTGGTCAGACTTATGTTTGTAGCTTCGAGAACACTGTCCAACCATCTTGTCCTCTGCCGTTTCCTTCTCCTTGTGCCCTCCATCTTTCCCAACATCAGGGTCTTTTCCAGGGAGTCTTCTGTTCTCATGACGTGGCCAAAGTATTGGAGCCTCAGCTTCAGGATCTGTCCTTCCAGTGAGCACTCAGGGCTAATTTCCTTAAGAATGGATGTGTTTGATCTTCTTGCAGTCCATGGGAATCTCAAGAGTCTCCTCCAGCACCATAATTCAAAAGCATCAATTCTTCAGCGATCAGCCTTCTTTATGGTCCAGCTTTCACTTCCATACATCACTACTGGAAAAGGATAAGTAGTGAAGGATAAAGAGTACTTCACAGGAAATCTTTTTTCTTGGCTGCAAGGGGAATTTGTATTGCTCTTAGCTGAGGCATTTCTATGAGTCTTTACATAGGCCATCACATTATTGTACCTCACACCTGGATTCCTGAAAGGCATTGGTCTCAATTTCCATTTTATGAAAGTATATTCTTAGCCCTCATGGTTGTGACTTGAAAATTGTGGACTATGGTCAGTAGCATTGCTATCATTAAGGGTCAAACTTAAATATTTATGCTCTATAAGTCTAAGAAGTTGGTTTTATTAGAAGGTGGGTGAGATGTCACCTTCTTACACATACTTACCTCTTCAGGTCACCCTTGAGGTTCTGGTCTGGTTCACACATGACGTTAAACCATGGTTTGACTGATTATCCACACCCTCCCCAGCAGCTTAACTATGGCTTGTTTGCTGCCACAAACCATGATTTGAAGCCAGGGTTTGTTGCTGGTATAAGAACCTTGGTTTATTTTTTAACAATGACTTGGTGTTGCATGCAAATGCAATACCCTTCTTTAGCAATGGCTTGATTGGGCCATCCCACTGGAGGTGTTCATTAAGATTCAAAGGCAAAACATCCAGAAAACAAACCCAAGCTTTTCACAAAACAAGGCATGCATGGTTTGTTATCTGTGCTACAGCTTACCCAGGCCTTTGATAGCTGAAAGTTCTGCCCCTCGTGACCCTGAAATCATTGATTTGAGAGTTTTTAACTGGTTTTAAAAGGTTGGTTTTAACGGATTCTGGAAGTTTTAATAGTGTTATTTTAGTGCTGACATGTTTGCCCCCCAGGCCTCCTTTTGGAGAAAGAACAGGATATAAATTTAATAAATAAAGTCAAATCATACCTTGTTGAAGAAACCATGGTATAGTGTTATGTGCAAAGCTGGCGTATGAGCTGTTTGAGAAGACACTCGCTAAAGAACTAAACATGAGGCTTGTCTCCTGTTTCTCATTCAAACCGATCCAACCTTATGGTGGCTATCCCATTTCATGTAAGAAAATAGTGCAACTATGTTTGAACACTAAATACGAGGCAAAATGTGCAGGCATTGTTCTCATCTGTTTAGTTTGAAACTTGCCTGCTCCCACTTTTCAATTATGTTCTGCCCCCTTAAAAATAAAATTTTAAAAATCCCTGCAGTTACCAACACTTTGGTGCTTTTCACCAGCTTTGTTTCTTTCATTTCAGAGATGAACATGAAGATTTCAAAGACGAGATGAAACGGCTGAAAAAGCTGCGTGGGAAAGGACGCCCTGTGAAAGGAGAAGGAAAGAGAGCGCTGAAGAAGAAATAACACAGTTGTTGCAGTAGACCTTGTATTTAATAAACACATCTTGGACAGATGGTGACTGTTTACTAGACTTTCAGTAGGCCGGGGAATTTATCTCAAGATGAGGCATCCTTTGCAAACATCTTGCCCCTATAACATAAGGAAGAGAAAGGCTGTAACAGATTCATCTGCATGACCCCGTCAATTTTGGTGGTGGTGATAGCAAAAAGAGGGTGGATTCACTCTCTCCTGGGGACCTGCGGCCTCCAGACACTGGGAGCCAGTGTGGTGTAGTGGTTAAGAGCGGTAGACTCGTAATCTGGTGAACCGGGTTTGCGTCTCCGCTCCTCCACCTGCAGCTGCTGGGTGACCTTGGGCCAGTCACACTTCTCTGAAGTCTCTCAGCCTCACTCACCTCACAGAGTGTTTGTTGTGGGGGAGGAAGGGAAAGGAGAATGTTAGCCGCTTTGAGACTCCTTCCAGTAGTGATAAAGTGGGATATTAAATCCAAACTCTTCTTCTTCTCCAGAGGGTGGGCTAAGGATGAATGTTGCCCAGAGGAGCCAACTCCTAGGGACAAACGTCCTTCCCCACCCCAAAGAAAAATATTTGAAGGTGCCAGGCCATAGTTGACAAACATTGCCGTTCAAATGGTGTGCATGTCCCGCGTCTTGTGATTGATTATGCAGGGTGGGGCTTACCTGGGCCCTCCCAATATTTTATTCAAGTTGCCACCCTGACGTTGCCCCTGAGCAAAAATAGCTTAGCTAGCCAGTCCTGTTTAGTAGTATTATCAGTAGTGGTAGCGGACGTAGTATTACAATTTGTTATGCCAAGTTCCCAGGGCAAATTGCGACAATTAAAACACAACACAATATTACAAACAGATTGAAACAATTTTAAGATTACGGGAAATAAGGTGGGCATGGGGGGGACACAAATCTCAAGTGTTAAAAGCTAGGGTAAGGAGTTAGGGTAGGGTTGCCTTATAGAGTGACGTGCAGAACACCTGCTTTCTCTCACCGTTTCCTCCAACCTGCCCTTGAGATGATGGTGGCTGCCAAGGCCATTTTTTAAAAGCACAGGCTTAATTGCATCTCAGCTGGAGGACACTGGCTGTCACCCTACATCCTTTATTGAAATGTATATAATTGGTTGCATACCAAAAAATGATATATGCCGTGAGAAATAAGACATGTTCTTTGCCTAAGAGCTATATGGTTAACTGAAATATGCATTTCTCGTAAAAGTGTGCAATAAATTACAGTAAGGTCCTGGTACAATGAGCACCTTTCTTATAGCTTCCATTCCCCATTGTCAGGAGTACTTGGAAATTCCGGTCTCTATACTTAAGGTCCCTTTCCCTATGTCTCTACCAGCCTGATCCTTCCCCCTTTTTATATGAGGGAGGCAGCAACAGGAACAATGGGTCCTCACCTTTCTCTTGTGCTCCTTCCTTCATTCCTCACCTCCCAGATCATCTGCTTTTCTCTTTCAGTGTTTAATTTCATGGGTGTTTGTCTTGTTTTTTTTAATCCCGTGCCAGAGTGTGGGGAATTTTTGGCCTGCCAGATGTTGCTGAACTACATAGTCAACCTTAAGTCCCACTCAGCAGACCGACTGAAATCAATGGAGTTAAATAGTCATGTATATTTCAATAGGTCTCTTGTGACTTCCTGTTGGAGGCAAGCCTGTGCTAATTTACATTACACAAGCTCTGAGTGCTATGCCAAGATACCAGTTTTGAATTTCCTTAGAAGGTTAGATCAGAGGGCTGCTTTTCCCCATTGTATGGAAGCGTTTACAGTCACTGGATAGTTTTGTTTACGAAGCTCTTAAAATAAGCTAGATGCTGGAGAAAACTGGTTAGAAATAAATAAAAGACCCTTATCGAAAACTTCATGTTCTAAATAGTTAACACTACCATGCCGAGAAGAGACTCTGATAAAATGATAATATTATTAGGAGAATGATAATGAATTTAATAAGGATTTAATTCATAGGAACATAAGAATCTGCCTTATATGAGGTCAGAGTAACTCAGACTAATCCATCTAGCCCAAAACAGAAATACCACTTTGATGGAAGTAGGGATGGAGAAAGGCTGTCAGCTTTCAGCCTTGCAGCAAATGGTGGTGTGCAGTTTCTTGGGCTGATTTTGCCAATAAGCGATTCAGGGATTTAAAAAACAGAAATATCTCAAGTCAATCCAGTTTTTGGTTGGTTTGCATTCTACAGAAAGTCAATCATAGGTTGAAAGAGTCGTCATATTTTGTATGAACTACTGTATTGATAAGGGACGCGGGTGGCACTGTGGGTTAAACCACAGAGCCCAAGGCTTGCCGATCAGAAGGTCGGCGGTTCAAATCCCCGCAACAGGGTGAGCTCCCGTTGTTCAGTCCCTGCTCCTGCTAACCTAGCAGTTCGAAAGCACAAAGTGCAAGTAGATAAATAGGTACTGCTCCGGTGGGAAGGTAAACTGCGTTTCCGTGCACTGCTCTGGTTCACCAGAAGCGGCTTAGTCATGTTGGCCACATGACCCGGAAGCTGTAGACGTGGCTCCCTCAGCCAGTAAAGCGAGATGAGCGCTGCAACCCCAGAGTCGGTCACGACTGGACCTAATGGTCAGGGGTTCCTTTACCTTTACCTTACCTTTACTGTATTGATGGTGAAAGTTATCCTGTTCCTTCCTTAATCCCATTCTCCTTTTTTCATCACACTTAATTAGATTTGGGGCGTTCAGACTTCAGGCTTGATGGATGTACTCTGCTGTTGTTTACTATCTTCCAACCAGAGCCAGTGCAGAATAATTGTTTGTTGAACCAGATACAAACTGATGGCTGGGGGGAGGGGGTTATAACCAGTTACCCACTACAAGCCATGAGCAATACAGTGCGATGATCTGCATATGCAAATACAGATCCATATCTGAGAGACTACAGGTAGGTGTAGGGATTTCAACAGAAAACTCTTAACACAACCGCGGGAATATGTTGTCCAAGACGATTACTCTTATTTCTTAGGTGCAAGGCCTACACACCACCACCCCAAAGGATCCTGGGAAATGTAGTTTGTTAAGGTGCTGAGAATTGTACCTCTGTGAGGGGTAAACTTCAAGCCCCGTGATTCTTTGCAGGTAGGGATGTATGCCTTGGTGTGTATGCAGTAACTGAGATAAATAGTACAAGGCAAACCATGACAACGTTTTACGGATTTTTAAAAAATAAACCTAGAAGTTTACTTGGAAGTTTCAACTATTGGGAGTCGGAAACTCTTGCAGATTTGCTAAAATCACCCAGCAGAACCCAATTACGCCAAGTCAGCAGAGCTCATATATTCGTGGGCAGGGACTATGTTGTTTTTACGTTTTTGTGCAGCACCTAGAGAATATTTTGTTCTTTATGAATAATAAAAGCAAGAGCTGGCTATTCTCTTCTATTCCTGGGGAATGTGGTCATATTATATAACATTATCAGAGTTACGTCTGAGTGCAAGAGTTCATTGTTCCATGGAGAAACCATGACTCATGAATGACCCAAGATTATCAGCAAAAGGGTCATTCAGTGGTCACTAGGAATTTTTGTTTTGTTTGAGCCAGCTGGTATTGTAATTTTTAAATGTGCTGTTTGCAAAGCCAAGTTGAGGGTTGTTGCTGTCTCATAGAATCATAGAGTTGGAATGGACCACAAGGGCCATCAAGTCCAACCCCCTGCCAAGCAGGAAACACCATCAGAGCACTCCTGACATATGGTTGTCAAGCCTCTGCTTAAAGACCTCCAAAGAAGGAGACTCCACCACACTCCTTGGCAGCAAATTCCACTGTCGAACAGCTCTTACTGTCAGGAAGTTCTTCCTAATGTTTAGGTGGAATCTTCTTTCTTGTAGTTTGGATCCATTGCTCCGTGTCCGCTTCTCTGGAGCAGCAGAAAACAACCTTTCTCCCTCCTCTATATGACATCCTTTTATATATTTGAACATGGCTATCATATCACCCCTTAACCTCCTCTTCTCCAGGCTAAACATGCCCAGCTCCCTTAGCCGTTCCTCATAAGGCATCGTTTCCAGGCCTTTGACCATTTTGGTTGCCCTCCTCTGGACACGTTCCAGTTTGTCAGTGTCCTTCTTGAACTGTGGTGCCCAGAACTGGACACAGTACTCCAGGTGAGGTCTGACCAGAGCAGAATACAGTGGCACTATTACTTCCCTTGATCTAGATGCTATACTCCTATTGATGCAGCCCAGAATTGCATTGGCTTTTTTAGCTGCTGCGTCAACCTGTTGGCTCATGTCAAGTTTGTGGTCAACCAAGACTCCTAGATCCTTTTCACATGTACTGCTCTCAAGCCAGGTGTCACCCATCTTGTATTTGTGCCTCTGGCCTTAAGGCAGAGCCCCTGGCCTTAAGGCAGGCATAGGCAGACTCCGGACCTCCAGATGTTTGGGGCTACAATTCCCACCATCCCTAGCTAACAGGACCAGTGGTCTGAAGGGCCGGAGTTTGCCTATGCCTGCCTTAAGGGGTGTCCTCACACACTCTTCATTTGTTCAGGACGGCACAATAATGCATACTTATTTATAGGTAAATATGTCTAAATGCAGTTCTTTATCAGAAAGGGTTTTAGCATCCGTATAAGGGTGCTTGGGCTTATAATGCATTGTTTGTATTTTGAAAAGGGTTCCAGATCTTTAAAACAATGCAGAGAGCATAAGTTAGGCACTCAGGGTCTCATTGTTTCCAATCACCTGTTTGTTTGATTTTCACTTTACAATTTAGTTGGGTACTCAAGTTGGGTTTAGTTGGGTACTTTAGTTGGGTACTCAAGGGTACATGGGTGGAGCTGTGGGTTAAACCACAGAGCCTAAGGCTTGCCAATCAGAAGGTCGGTGGTTTGAATCCCCGAGATGGGGTGAGCTCCCGTTGCTCGGTCCCTGCTCCTGCCAACCTAGCAGTTCGAAAGCACGTCAAAGTGCAAGTAGATAAATAGGTACCACTCCGGTGGGAAGGTAAACAGCGTTTCCGTGCGCTGCTCTGGTTCGCCAGAAGCAGCTTATTCATGCTGGCCACATGACCCGG